GTCAAGCAACCCATACATGAATATGAATAATGATAGGTTATAGTTTACTTCCTTCTACCGTACAGGCAACTTTGAATGATAACTTGATGAACTCACTGGTCTTGCTTGGTAAGTAAAGGCATGCTCGATAGAGAGCTCACATGAATATCAGCGATCTTAAGAAGGAACTCGTCAAGTCCTTCTAAGAGGCAATTGTTATAACGATTATTTTGATGAATGTGATTGATCGATACTAAGTTGTTAGCCGTCGGAGGAAGTCCAATTTTAAGTGCGTGTCTGAGTGTAAAATTTAATTTTACAGTGACATTCATTCATATTATATCATTGATGGTGATTTCACCGGAATTCTCATATCATTCCAAAGATGATAAGAGTGCCTTCCTCAAAAGGCTGCTTGCGTGGCGCCACCACTCATGTGACCAAACGTACCGCCCACTTTCCCCAGAACGTCTCAGCCGTCCATCTCATCATCTTCTTCTCCAGAAGCTTAGATTAACGCATGCGGGTCTAAAAGTAACAATAAACAAGCATTAATGCTCCGATTCACAGTGACGGTGATGGTGATGCAAGCGCGTCTGCAAGTCATGTACGCCACTTGGTCGACGCAGACCAGCGGTGCCAGTAACAGTAAACACACAGAAATTAAACCAAAACCATAAACTTTATTTCGTTTTCAGCTCCCGAAAGCTCTCTTCAATACATTGCCTTCACGCCTCATGAAAACTTCCATAACATAAATTAAGAAAGCTACTCGCCGGCGGACACGACGACATCCACAGAGGACCCCCGCCACCACCGCCGCCGCCGTGGTGAGCATTCACGATGGGCGGATTGGACACCCTCACGGCAGAAGACAAAAACGTGACCAAAGTTTGTTCATTTATGATTTTTTTTTTAATTTGTATATTTTAACGGGCACATCGTGTTTCGCGTCGGTAGTAATTGCACCCAACGATTGCAGGCAACCCTAGCAAGAGGAGAAACGGAGGGCAAGGCGATGGAGAGACAAGCGGAGAACGCCGGCGAAATTTTAACCGGAGGAGAGGAGGTGTTGGATTTAGTACAGAGCGACTCGACGGTATCTAGGTTGCGCGCCCAGCCTCAAGTTCCCCCAATCCAAGTCGTTTCACGTAACGCCGCCGCTCCTCCGCCCATCACTCCTCCCCTGTTCCAGCCGGTGCAAACTCCTCCCTTTCAGGTAAGAAAACAAATCTCTTTTTTATCCTTGTATCTTTATTTTTCATGGCTATTTCTAAGCCGAATAGCTGCAGCAGGCATCAATGGCCTCGCTGAACTCGAGGAAGTACACCAACCGCATCACCCTCTTGATCTTCCTCCTCCATCTCGCTGCAGCCATGGCGGCGGTCGGCTTCTTAAGTTTCAAGGCCGTACAGGGCGTGCTGGAACAGGGAACCGGCAAATCAAGGAGGGAGCGTCGCGCGCTCAAATTCTGGCTACCTCCCATCGAGGGAGCCTCCTTGCTCGGCATTATCCTCGCCTTCGTGTGGCAGTGGTCGTTCCGAGCTTGGCCGGCATTCATGGTCAGATTCGCCCTCTGGGCATGTTTCCTCATCACCATGGCAAGCGGCATCCTTTTGCTGTGCTTCTCCATGCCGGACACCGATGCCGGCGGCATCTTTCTCCTCCTCTTCTCCATTGGCACCGGCATCTACGCTTGCTGGGTTCCCCGCCGCGCCTCCTTCTCCGGCCGCATCTTCGCCAAATCCCTCCAGCCCGTTCACAAATTCCCTGGCGTCAACGGCCCTGCCTACCTCATGATGGGTCTCGGCTTCATCTGGATCTCGCTCTGGTGTTTTGCCGTCATCGGCGCCCTCGAATTCTATTACCCGCCGCTCACAATATTCGCCCTCGTGCTCAGCCTGATGTGGACGGCGGAGGTGATGCGCAACGTTGCTAATATAACCGTCAGCCGCGTGATCGCTCTCTACTACCTGAGGGGCATGCAGTGCAACATCCAGTTCTCCTTCCAGCGAGCGGCTTCATTAAATCTCGGCAGCGCATGTCTCGGCTCCCTCTTCGTCCCCAGCATCGAGGCCCTCCGCATCATCGCTCGCGGCCTCAACCTTCTCGAAGGCGAAGACGAGTTCCTCTTCTCCTGCGCCCATTGCTGCCTCCGCGTCATGGAATCCATTTTCCGCTACGGCAACAGCTGGGCTTTCGTCCACGTAATCCATACACAATAATCGCCTCACTCTCCTCCCTCTTTCATTTTCATCAATAAAGGTCTGATTTTTACTTCGTTTCCAGATTGCGGCGTACGGCAAAGGGTTCGTGGCGGCATCGCAGAGCACGTGGGATCTTTTCAACAGGCAGGGAATGGAGGAGCTGGTGGATTCCGACATAACAAGCTCCATCTGTTTCCTAACGGGCGTATCAAGCGGCGCTCTGTGCGTCATTTTTTCGGCGCCGTGGACGTTCTCGACGCACCGGCGCTACACCATGACAGTCTCACTTGTGGCCTTCTTCGTCGGTTATCTCATGACCAGGATCGGCATGGCGCTGCCCCAAGCATGCGTGGCGTGCTTCTATGTGTGCTACGCTGAGAATCCCGGAAGCCAGCTCTTTGAATCCATAATACCAGAACGCATCGCACAGATCCGCGCGACCATTCGCGAAGGCCTCGTATCCACGCCGCGCTTCGTCCCCCGTCGAGTTTCCACGGCATGAGCTTTCCAGTGCTGCAAA